TGCTTCCTATAATTATAGCCCGACAGTTTAGAATGTGTTTGGCCTATGTGTGTATTTAAAGGAGCTCTTTAATTTTTATACTTAGCACCACCCTTTCGCGTCGTTGGATATTGATATCAAAGCATCTTAGGTGTATATTATAATATATTATACTCATATAATTTATATACAAAACGAACAGTTCTTACTACGGGAAACCCGCTTTAATTTTAATTACATGAATTTATTTTGCTTTTCAAATACTGAATCGTACATACTTTACATACTTCTACCTATATTTTTTTTCGGTATGATGGTAATAATCAAAAGTGGCCCCCTCATTTATGGTTTAAAAAAATAAATGTGGAAATCTATAAATTGGTTGTACTTAATTAATAAACAAATAAAAGGCATTTCAGAAAATAATTGCAACAACAAATGTTCAGTATGCATTGTACCATAACGTCCATAACACCAACCCCATTAGTCCGCCACTGTTAAGCACTTTGAACAACATAGGAAAAACTCGTAAACCTGGTGAATAGTACGATTTCGAAAACATTTTTTTATATTACAAATTAGAAGACTGTCACCACATTAAACAAATATTTTCAAAATTATACTTTCAGAAGTAGTAATAAACGTTTATAATATAGAGTCTATTGATCACAAATAGTTGAAGTTAATGTTATGACTTTTCACAAACATCACTCAAGTACGTTGATGAGTTACAAATATCTATTGTCAACAAACTACTTGTCACAAATGTGTGTTCGTCGGTGAGTCACTACTTTGACTAAACGACTTGTCGCATACACCGCATGCGTAAGGTTTCTCGCCTGTGTGTGTTCGTCGATGAATCGTCTAATGTTTTACTTTCGGCAAACGACTTGTCACATACATCGCATGCGTATGGTGTCTCGCCTGAGTGCGTCCGTCGATGGATCGTTAATTGGCCACTATTAGCAAATGACTTGTCGCATACGTCACATGCGTATGGTTTCTCGCCTGTGTGCGTCCGTCGATGGATCGTTAATTGGCCACTATTAGCAAATGACTTGTCACATACGTCACATGCGTATGGTTTCTCGCCCGTGTGTGTTCGTCGGTGAGCCGTCAGATGGCCACTTTGACTAAACAACTTGTCGCATACATCGCATGCGTATGGTATCTCGCCTGTGTGTGTTCGTCGGTGAGTCATCAGATTACTCCTTTGACTAAACGACTTGTCACATACGTCACATGCATATGGTTTTTCGCCTGTGTGTGTTCGTCGATGAATCGTCAATGCTTTACTTACAGCAAACGACTTGTCGCATATATCGCATGCGTATGGTTTCTCGCCTGTGTGTGTTCGTCGGTGAGCCGTCAGATGGCCACTTTGACTAAACGACTTGTCGCATACATCGCATGCGTATGGTTTCTCGCCTGTGTGCGTCCGTCGATGGATCGTTAATTGGCCACTATTACTAAATGACTTGTCGCATACGTCACATGCGTATGGTTTCTCGCCTGTGTGCATCCTTCGATGATTCGTTAATTTGCCACTTTCGGCAAATGACTTGTCACATACGTCGCACGGATAAAGATTCTTCTCCATAGCATCCAATGGTCGTCAGCCTGCTTGTATAAGTAAAGAATTTATTGCCAACGCCAACTGTGTATTACCATGTCAACCAGTTAAATTACTCATGTTCAAGTTTATAAATCTAAATCACTAAAATATTACTTTAGAGTATTTTATAAGATGCTTTTAATTATTTGTAGGTACTGATATTGTATTACATATTTTCAGAAAAAACTTAGTTGTTTTGTTCTTATAACAACACTTATTTGTTTTTCGCACAATTACTTGGTTACTAGTAACTATACTATACTGTTTATGATCATAATATAGAATTTATTGATTTCACCAGATTTTTAAACCAGTGTTTATTGTATTGCCTTGTAATTATAAAATCAAAATGTAATAAAGTAGGTATATTATATATAATTTTGACAAGTCTTAAGATTTTATTCAACCTTTATCTTAATAGAATAAATCCTTGTTTTAGAGTGGAGCGAAGGAATGTAATGATTTTATAACAATGTATATTTATGTATCATTAATTGTATCCGATATATAGAAACGAATAACGATGTATGATGTTCTGTAATGAAACATTCGGAGCACTTATTCTACCCCCTTCCCACCACCACCACTCACACCCACAAAAAAAAAAGAAGAAGTTTGCGGACTTATCAAAATAATACCACCATGGCATTGTTCAAATCTGTGGATCATGATACTATATTATTTTACGCTGCGGGATACCGATAGGTTGCAATCTGTCTGTGACTGTATTCGAGCTCTGACCCGAAATTGTGATCAGCTATACCACGGTTAACGGTGAAATAAAAATCTACTGTTTCGCTCGCAGGTGTGCTTGGTATATAAGCACACTGTACTTAAATTGTGCTTATATAATATTGTTGTACTATAATATTACACGTTTATAACACAAAATAAGGTATATTAGATTTTGGAACTTGTAGAAAATATACTGGAGAAAATGATCCTATAAAACCAATAAAAATAAATAATTATTTGAACTTTTTATCTATTAATTTAATAATAATATATAATATAATAGGTAGCAACTACCAACTTTAACGGTTATGATTATGTAATTTACAGCCTTACTTACAGACAGTTAAAAACGATTAATAATAAGATTTCTCTGTAGTATTTTGTGTTATCTGAAATAATTATAAGAAAAAATATCAGAATTTTTAACAAAAAATGTAAATAATATGCAAAAATATAATAAATATTACATTCATTGTAGACGTATTGTCACATATAGGTACACATTTTTATTGATGGCATTACATTATTTTACATTATCGGCAAGTTAACAACCACAATACCACCTACCACGTATTACGATATAGGTACTCAACTAAAATTCAGCCTGAGTAAAATTATTGAAATGTTTTAAATTGCATTGGATAGAAGTCATCACAACTACTGTGTGCAGACGTCTTGAGAAGCGAACTTATTCGTATGAATATATTATATGCAGTCGTTTGCAATTTATAAATATAATTTAACAGATCAATTTTTTCAATAATGTTAACAATCTACCTAAAGTTGTTCGTCAATCAATAATTATTAGATGAGTAGATAATAAACTCTAGTAATTATTATACGCCTCACTCAATGTCTGAATTTTTGAATTTCCAAAACAAGACTGTTACCACGACAACGAGCCATATTTTATTGTAATACTCCCATAATACAGATGTATTTTCATTTGTAGAAGTCAAATGATTTCTTGTAAAGTGATACAATGAAAAACAAAAATAACACATCGATTTTTATTGCGTATATAATTATGTATTCACACATACGTAGGTATAGATACATAGTCTCTTTGTATTTTATAATAGTAATTGTTTTTTCCTGTATTTTTTCATATCTTATAAAAAAAATATACATTATATTATATAGGTATTTCTAGTAAAAAATACATTTTTGAAATTGTTGAGTCCAAACAAGTTATTTTTTAAGAAAAAAAAACATTTTAAGCATTCTATGTCATATGATAAAAGTAGCAGGTATAATTGAATTGGGTACCGAACTTGAATCAGTTAGAGTGGCTGATATGTGTTAGATAAATATAGGTACCTATAGTTAATAATACATTTTAAGCACATTAATAACATATATTAAAATCATGTTTTCTTAACAACGTTTCAGGTTTCCAACAACATAATATATGCATACGTAACAATTATTATAGGTATGGGATAACGATAATTGATAAGTCAAAATTGAGAACCTAAAATACACAATCAAAATTGTCTTAGAAGGGTGTAAAGAATGACCCGAAATATTAACTTTACGTCGAATTTCGGTACATTACAGAACAAAGCTTATCTCTACTTATAATGATTTATAATTAATTTACAGCATGGACGCTTTAAAACAATCATTGACAGCGCAGACGGATATTCAATTCATCTCCGTAGGAGACCTCACGGTAGACAGAACGTATCCAATAATGAAAATGGTCAATCAGGACACACAGTATGGACGAACGATCGTATGCACAATGCACACTTAAGGATATTGCGGGGAGTCTTTTCCAAGTCTATCTACCCAAGTCCATCCAACTCGAGGACGATGAAATCTTAGAGTTCAACAGTAGAACTGAGAAAACCATAAATCTCGTATTCAAAGGACGGCGGGGAAGGGCATTCAATATCGCATTCGTGTAAAAAATAAATACATGTATAATAATTAGATTGATGTATGTTTATATGTTTATGAAATAAAAATGTAATATTAATACTTAAAATATTTTCTATTTTATTATTATTATTTTCTAATAAGCGTAACACTCCTAATTCACCTACACCTTCATTTAATATAACGAATACATATGAGTATAGCTTATATTCTTGTATGTAACTCATATAGACGTGTAGTTTCTTATAAAGAACTCAACGAACGGGTAGAAACAGATCAATATCCTATACCAAGAACCACAGATCTACTTAGGGCCTTAGAAGGGTCACAATACTTCACTTCTCTTGACCTTAACAGTGGATTTTTTCAGCTACCAATTCAATTTGACGACCAATATAAATTAGCATTTACCTCATGGACTAATGACTTTTACTAGGCTCCCACAGGTCAGGTTAGGTTAGAACAGTAGTGCTATATTTCAAAGAATACTAAATGAATCATTCTCACCTTTATCATACAAATCATTAATCATATATATAGATGACCTAGCTTCATATGGAAAAAATTTTAACCAATCGTTATTAAATTTAAAAAACGCATTCATAATTATGGATAAAAAGAACTTTTCACTAAAAACAAAAAAAAATGTTTTTTCTTTAATGATAAAATCGAACTACTAGGACATAATATATCAATAAACGGGATAACCCCCCTAAACAGAAACATTAAAGCTATTACAGAATTTAAACAACCAAAAACACAAAAAGACATCAGATCTTTTATAGGAATGTGTTCATATTATGGAAAACATATTAAAGATTTTGCAAAAATATCACACCCACTCACTGAATTAATAAAGGGCGATATAAAACTAATTAAGTGGGAAGAAGAACAAAAACAGCCATTTAGCCTATTAAAGGAACTTTTAACTGCTGAACCACTATTAAAACACTTTGATGAAGAACAAAGAGGTATTTCTAACCATAAGTCTATGGCTCAATCACAGGCTTAGGAGCATGCCTAGAACAGCCAAAGAATGACAATATTTTACACCCAATAGGTTATGCATCCAGAAAAATATTAAGTAATGAAAAAACTTACTCATCAACTACCTTAGAATTATTAGGATTAGTCTTTGGTGTAACTTACCTTCCAGAATATTTATGGGGACGACCATTTACGGTATTCTGCGATAATATTAGTCTCCAATATTATAAAACATTATAAATTCCATCAGCAAGAATAGCCAGATTAACATTAAAATTATTAGATTTCACTTTCGATATAATTTATAAAAAGGGCAAAGAAAACAGAGTAGCCGATGCCTTATCAAGAAATGCTATTAACATAATTCTTGATGATAATGACAATTATGAAATAGATAAACTAATTAATTGCGACATAAAAACACTCCAGTCTAATGATCAATTCTGTACCGATATAATTAAAGCCATTAATAAAATAGACAATGAAACAAACAAAAAAATACTAAGAACATCTCGGCAATTTGCCATAATTAATGACGTATTATACAATAAACATTTTACACCTCCTAACATGATAAAACATCTATTAGTTGTTCCAATAAAATTAATTAATGAATTACTTAAGTCTTATCATGAATCACCTATCGGCGGTCATACCGGCATAACACGTACCATTCACAAATTACAAAACAAATATTATTGGACAACACTCTCAAAAGACACTACTCAATTCATAAAAACGTGTCATCAATGCCAAATTAATAAAAAATTACCCGGAAAACCAATAGGTCAATTACAACCCATTCCCATTTCTAATAAACCAATGGACAGATTAGTATTTGACTATCTAGGACCATTACCCTCAAGTAATAAAAAGAAATATGTATTAGTAGCAGCATGTAGTAGCACAAAATACATATTTACTAAGGCGGTCGAATCAGCTACGGCTGAATCTACGGTCAAATTCTTAATTCAAATAATTTCACAGTGGAGATCTTTCAGATAATTTTCATCCAATAGAGGCACCCACTTTAAAAAATAAATTAATTTAAGAACTTACACAAAACTTAGGAATTCAACAAATATTATCAACCGCATATTCCCCGGAAACCCAGGGCATTGTAGAAAGAGTTAACGGAGTGTTATGTAGTTCCAAAAAAAACTATATAAATGACGACAATCAACACAGATGGTCATATTTTCATTTTACCATTTTACATTTTTAGGAAAATCGCCTAAATTAGCACAAAAATATAGAGGCCCGTTCAAAATTATTAAAAAAATTATAGAATTCAATTATAAAGTAAAATTAATTCTAAATAAAAAACTAACTGAAGATATCATTCACGTTAAAAGAATTAAACCTTATTACTATAGATAACTTTAAAAAAAAAAAAAAAAAAAAATCCAACTCTATTATCAAAAATACTAATAAATAATCATGTATATATACTAACCAAAATTCAATCATTTATAGATTCTACTACAAGATTATATTAAAAAAAAAAATCAAATAAGATTGTAAATTAACATGTTCAAAAAAAAAATAATAGTAATAATAATAAATAATAAAAAAAAAATGTATATTTATAAAACTAAGAATATGTACACTATATAAAACAAGTGGATTATCCTGATCACAATAATGACATCCTCATACACGGACCTGATGGCATACGAAAACACAACATTTGTCTATATCGAAAATTTTCTAAAGACAACAATCACATCTCTATATGCTGACCTCCTCACAAAACAATGCGAGTTGGAAAGAAAAATGTTAATTCAAAAATTATCATTAGCGTCATATAGCCTTTCAGAATTCGCATATGCCATGGCCATGGGAGAAGGACCTGGATATACTGCAATCAATGCAAGAGAAATAATATACCTCCTGAAATGCAAAGCAGTCAATGTAGAAATCAATACATTAAATACTTCTTTTAATGAACTACCAATAAAATACCAAAATAAAACCTACTACATGGCTCCCAAAACACATACATTACAAAGTTATGGAACCTTAATAGAATGTAATACAATACTACCACCAGCTTTCCTACTAGAAGGCGAATAAATGGCTTGGAGTAGCACCGACACTCAGAGAAATTAAAAAACCCATTATTCTAAAACCATCAACCACATGGACCTGGACATATAAAAGCCCAGAAAATCTTATGATAGCTGGAATATATAGTCACGAGATAATGAATGCACTACAAAAGCACCTCCTATTAACTCAAGAGTTCGAAGCTGCCCAAAAAAATATTGCCAGACAATCACTAGGACACACCTACACAGACCAAGGCCTTAGACTACAAAGCCTCATAGACGAAACACCATTGGACAAATGGTAGAAAACAAACTACAAAAAATGTAGGGATGGTTTACCACACTTGGAACTTTCGTCTCCGGCGTATTAGGAGTATTTTTTATTACAAAAATAATAATTAGTCTATTAAACACGGGACTTAACATCTTATTACTTTACCAAACATTTGGATGGAGTCTAAAAATGTTAGCTGGTATCTTCACTAACTTAACGCAATTCATCATGCATAAACAACATGAAAACCAATTCAAAGAAAACACGAATGACAACAAAACACACAAAGAAGATATCAAACAACAACTTGAACAACACCAAAATGCCTTGGATAAACCAAAGAATAATCCTCCTAAAGACACTATGTTCATATAACCATGTAACTATTATTTTAAAACTATTTAACCATTATATCATTTTAAAGTATTTAACCATATTAATTAAATTATATACATATTATATTTAATCAATTACAGGTACTCTACAAAAAAATGTTTTATCAAATTATATAACTATCAACCATATGAAACATTTACAAACAAAAAATTCAATATTATATAACTTTTTCTCAATATCAAAATGTAAAATTTGTCCCAATTATATCATATTATGAGGGCATAATATCAAAAAAAAAAGTAGTGGATGTAATGATATCTACGTCATTGCACCAACACATTTTCATGACTCAATATCATCATAACACTATTAAATGTTTCATTACAAAAAACCACAATAATTATCTGTACCCATGTACCTATTATGTTACCCAAAATTATACACAACAACAAAGGTCATACTCATTATGAAATCAAATCACTATACAATGGGTTTGTATTTTGTATTATGTAAATTTTTATTTTTTTATTATTAACTAACCTTACTACATCACTCAAGGAACATTTTTTATTTGCACACCTAAAATGTGTATCACTAGATTTTAAAGTTCGAAATTCTCTACATTTATAACTATCTATATTTATACACTTTTTACCTCGACGCGTTTCAAAAATATCACAAATTTCGATATCCATAGTCACTAGTCAGTATAGGTAGTACCGCTTTCTGGCGAACGACTGCTTAAAAATATTATGTTTAATACACGTCGATTATTTTCAATGATGATAATGACTAATGATGAGTCCAAATTTAAAAATATAAAATATATGTTATGCAGTGTTTATGTTGTGCGCAAACGAGTCGTCCGTTTTTAGGTTAACGACGGTATTAGTTGTGCGCAAACGAGTCATCGATATCTAGGTAAACAATTTGGATTGTGCGCAAACGAGTTGCACCGCTATACAATATCCTATAAACACTATCAAAACATAATAAATATATGTAGCCACTAGCCATGTACCCTGATATAATTCAAAATGTACAAAAACTATCAATAAGTAATAACCATATATATATATATATATGTACAAATGTCACTATTCTTACAAAAACATATTTTGATTATACCCATGTACTTACACAAAATAAACAACAACAATTTAATACGGAACAACAAGGTATCAGAGGTCAATACTATAAGTAGAACCTCCTTTTCGATATTCAGATCAGTCTGCTCATACTAGCCAATACTGCGCTTACACATTTTTTCATACGCACCGTCTTATTTCGCTGCTCAAAATCTTAAAGCGAATATGAACTTAAAAACTTTATTCTTTCTAAATCTTATAAATATCTTGTTGTGAACTATTAAATATAACTTCTATTTTCAAACCAAAATTGTACTTACGTTATTCTTACAAACTAACATCGTCAATACTCCATTTCCAAATTCTATCATCGTTCAAATCAAGCAACATCAACCAGGTAAGAAATTATAATAATACCATATAACTTCAATAAAGAAATCATCATCAACGATAAGTTAATAAAGACACGCAGACTCCGGTGCATCACATATTCATAAATCATTACAAATCATTATATCCTTCGTTTATAAATCTATACTTATATAGGTATATTTTTTAAAATTGTTCATAATCAAGTTGATATCGAGGATGTTGGAAGGTTTATTTATAATATTTACCACACCAAAGTGTATTCTGATTAAGTATGTCTACATAGATGTATACCTATAGACCTTTGGAATATTTCAATATATGAATGCTATTGAAAGTGTATATATAAAGAGAAATTACGATATTTTTAGTAAAATATTACAACGTTCTCTAATATATTACATAATAAGAGAGTTATATAAATGAAAAAAGGAAATTGTAAATAAATTTCAACTCATGAATATATGATAAATATACTATGGATTGATTACCAATATTGTATTTAAATCAGTTATTTATTATATTCTTGTATGTAACTAGGTTAATAAATCGATATATTTCTAGTAGTATAAAAATTAATCTATAGGAGTAAATAAGTGATTTACCATCTAATAGGTTATTTAATGTAGGCTTTCTTAATAAAATAACTGGATAATATGCTAAATAAATATTAATAACAATATAATTTAATTGGAGAATGTTTTCTATTTATTATATCAATCTGAGTGTAACCCCATTGTCTTCTTATGAATATATAAATATATCAAAATAACAACGTTAGGCATTCTAGTAATTTTATCGTAGGAATGATATAAGGTAATATAAAAACAATACATATATCATTAATATTCTTCATTGTAAAAATATTAGTTAGTCTATTTAAACACCGGAATTAACATCTCACTAC